CAGCTCTGCAAAAATGCAGAAATCAAGAGAAGCCAAGAGAAAACAGACTCTGTACAGTCCATCCAGGCAGGAAGGAGCCAAGGGATCCACCTCAGGAGCACTGTCCTGTGGTCCCCACGCTGGCTCCACCAGGACTGTGGACTCCCAGGACTGTATTTTTGCCAAGATTCAAGCAAAGCAACTCAAGATAAACATTTGATTTCCAAATGACTCCTGGAAGTCAAGGGGTGATAAAAAAATCAATGGGTGAAACATTCCAGCAGAAGTTACCATGCAGCCTTCACAAGGAAAGCTGTTGCAAGATCTATTTGAAATGTATTAAAAATTTCAGGTTCATTTCCAGATACTAGCAAGCAGCAGGGAGTTATGAAGCTGCTATTCTTGGAAGTTGTACAATTTAATGATTTCACTCTTTCAGAAGCTTTTCCCCCTCTCTGTAAGACCCTGTGAAGTTTGTACCTTTGCAGCACTCCAGTCAGTAAAAGGTAATTTCCTATTCTCACCACACATCATCAAGGCTTTACTTACAGGAGGTGATAAGCAAGTCTGCAATCAAATATAAGGCATCCACTGCAGTTCTTACACCTCTTAAGCAAGCCTGGCAGTGGAGAGGAGAGAAGCATGGGCTCACAGCCCAGGGGAAGCAGCACCAGGACCCCCTGCAGAGGGTGGAGGGACCCCAGTACGTACCAGCTTCATCAACAGGCAGTTTGTCACTTTTGCATTGTATTTTTCAATTTTCTGCTTGATCTCCTGGACGGTGGGGGGGTCGGGTTTGTCTTCTGTTTGTGTTGCATTCTGGAAGCAGAAGAGACAGGCTGGAGCTGGTTTATGGGCTGGGTCACACTGCAGCTCTGCTTTTTCTTGGGAAATGCAGAACTCTGCAGACCTTGGGCTGACGCCAGCAGCGATGCTGCAGGTGGAGCTGGGCCCTGTGGCCAAGGGGCTGCATGTGCAGGATGCCACATCCCTGCCCCAAACCACCTCTGGACAGCAGCCACAGGCAATGGAGGGTACCACAGAACCCACCAGTTAGTGGGGCACTGAGGGACAGAGTAGTGAAGACATCCCAGTATAAACCAGGGCAAAGAATCCAGCTTCTAAAACCCACTTTCAAGAGGCAGGCACCTGCACCTGCCAAGTGTTTCTGTGCTTCTTGAAATGCACTTGAAAATAAAATAGAATAGAATAAAATAGAATAGAATAAAATAAAATCACACCCTATTTCTAGTGTTCGTGGCTCTGTCCACCCAAGCCAGGCACCCCTTAAAACCCAGGATGCTCCTCCACCAGCTTCCAGCAGGTCCACCCCAGCAGATCCTGAAGTTAAATCTCTGCTGGGTTACTCCTCACTGCTCTATGGAAATTATAGCTCAGAGCAGGGGAGGGGGGAAAAGAAATATTTTAAACAATCCCAGCAGCAGCAGCAAGCTGGCTGCAGGATTAATAAATCAGGCACTGCAAAGCCAGCCAGGGCATCCCAACCCCTGCCAGAAACCCTTGAACCCCTGCCCAAGGGAATCTCCTCTAGGGGCAAAGCAACAGATTTGGTATTGAGGTGGGATCTACCTGCAGGTCACATGTGGAAAGGTCACTGATGAATAATGGGAAAACGTGATCCTGTCGTGGGGAGGCAGCTCGTGGGAGCTTCCCAAATATGACCTGGGGTTCAGGGTGTTCCAGCAGAAAGGTGATGAATGGGTTTGTGTGAAGTGCCACCACCACGGGCTGAGCCAGCCACAGCCAGGCCAGGGGGATGCTGCACGGGGCCTGAGGGGCTGCAAGCCCTGTGCTAGAGGGGAGCAGGACCACGGAGCCCATTCCAGGCCATCTAGAAGGGGGTAAGTGAGGTGCCTGCTGCAGGAGAGGGTCAGAGCCCGTGTCTCTGGGGTGTGCTGGAGGAAACCATGCCAGCCACCACCAAGCCCTGCCTGCCCCTGCACCCCACAGCTCCTGCCCAGCCCAGGGAGACCTCCAGCCGCCCTTGAAGGCTGGCAAGCAAGGCTCGTGGGATGCTGGCCACCTTCCTCTGGGGACACACAGGATGTGGAGAGCAGGGATGGTGCCTGGGGAGCTGGGAGGGAGGCTGGCAAGGCGCTGGGAACACAGAGAGGGTTTGTAGCAGCCTCGAGCCTGAGCCAGCCTCCCACCTCCCATCTGCCTGGGCACCGTGGCACAGGCTGCCAAGGCCCACGGACACCCTGGAGATGAAATGCCAGCATGGCATCCTCCATGCCTGGTGTGACAGCAGAGCCCAGGCACTGTGGGAACACAAGAACCAGCAAACTCCTTCCCCAGACCTGCTGGAAGGCAGGGGAGGATGCACCAGCATGCACAGGGATTTTGTGTGTGCCCACTCTAAGGGTCCAAGTGCAGCCTCGGTGGCTGCAGAGACCCCCGAGGCTCCCAGGGCTAACCCTGGGTGCTGGTGACTTCCCTCCACGAGGGAAACCCAGAGAACAAAGCTAAAGCCACAGCCAGAGAGGCAGCAAGTGCTCCTGGGGCACCTCCCTGCATCCCACCCCCAAACCCTGGGACTGTGACACCAAGCCCAAAGCAGGTACCTGGGACCCAAGCGTTGCACCCTGCAGCAGCACAACCCACGCTGCCCCTTCTCTGCACACTGCTGGAGCTCCTCACCAGCTTCTTCAGGCACTGGGACAGGGCCCAACAGTGGCATCCAAGAAGCCTCATTGGCACGAGACCATTAGAAACTCCCCACATGAGGCTCACCTTGTGCTTCAAGGCTTGATGCCACTTCAGCCTGGGTTACCCACAGCCCTTCAGCAGGTGGCTTCTCACCCAGCCAGGAGAGCAGGGCTCCTCTAAAACCTCCAGCATCCCCAAATCCAGACCTGCTGCAAACAGGCCTGTGCTCAGTGGGCTGGATTCCACAGCACTCTGCTGCCTCACCACAAGTCACCCCCTCCCCGGGGGCAGTGCCAGCACTGCCTGGAGCTGTGAGCAGCACTCCCATATTTTATGTGGGCTTGCTCTGAAGTTAGCAATAGCAGAGAGCAGGAAGTGTGGAGGGATGTGCTACCAAGGCTGGTACAGAACAAAAAATATAACCTCCAGGAAGGAAAAAAAAAGGGTGGGGAAAAAAAAGTGGCAACTTTGGGAGCAAAGCCCACCCCTTCCCAGGCAGCCCCAGGATGCAGCAGGCTGTAAATAAGCCACTCTTGCCCCAGGCTACCCATGGTATTTGTTTTAGGAGGAGAATCAAGCAGAGAACAAACTGAAATCCTGGTTGCAATCTGGCAGGATGGCTGCAGTCCCAGGACTGGAGAGCCCCAAATTCATTCAAGTGATTCCCAGGTGAGAGTTCAGAGCTTCTGCTGGAGGCTGGCAGACAGCACGAGACCTCCCAGGGGCAGAAACCCAGCAGAGGGACACTGACATTCTGCCACAGCCAGCCCCTTGTTCAGGGCTTTAAGGGAATAAAGGCAAAGCTTCCCTGGGGTGTTCAAGACCTGCACATCAACATCCACCTCTTGCAATGGCAATTTCATCTCCCTAGTTTGTCCAGGTCACCAGGCACACGTTTCACTGCTGCCTGTGGACTGCAGGGGGTCGTAGGTGGCCACACACAGGGGCTGGGCTGGTGTGGGAGCCTTGAAAACAATGCCAAGGGCAGAGATTTCCAAAAGTAAGTGGGCAGCCTGGCTCAGAAGCGTGGTGCTGGTGGCACCGTGTCACAGGGCTCGCCCCGTGCCCCCAAAAACTCCACCAACAAACCACTGCCCAGACATGGGCATCTGGCCTTCCCCAAAACAGCTC